TTAGAATTTTGATTAGCTAAATCATAGTTCTTAACCGTGCTTAATGGCACCGTTTGCCCTCTAAAATACCAAAAGTTCGCGGGGCCCTTCGGCGGGCCCTGAACCCCACGCCAAGTTGGGGAGGGTCGGCTTCGCATCCACGCCCCCCCCCCTTCAAATAATCCTGGATCCGCCCCTGTGATGTGTACACGTAGATTCCTTACAATTTTTTTTTTTTTTTTTTGCCATTTACTTACTTTTGTTTAATAGAGTCTTATGTATTCTGCATGAAAAGACAAACCCCCATAGAACAAGGAATGAAGCACATCGAAAGCATAATTGTAATTAACGTTATCACAAAGAGATTTTGCTTCGGACTCGGATTTTCATGAAGACGCTCGGAAAATTGCGAAGGCTTCTTCATTTCAGAAAAATAAGAATTGCACAAGTTTCGATTTGCACCACTGATTATTGCGTCGTAAAGCAGAAAAGCGCGTTATTGCATTACAATAAAAAGTAACAAAAAATAAAGATTACTTCAGCAACATATCATTTTATATATTCTCTGATCATAAAAGTTGGTATTACCTGCAATAATCTATGCAGAAGTCAAATTTTAATCGAAGTTAACACGCATTCTTATTTAGCTAAATAGATGAAAAGATAAATGTAAACAAAATTTTCAAATAGTTTATATTCAAATAATTTATTATTGACAAAATTGTTAGTATAAAAAATACATTTGTTGTAGGAACGTTATATATCTATTTACATCATGCCTGACTTGTATTTACATTACTGAAGGCTCTTTTACAGTCACATTACTTGACATAGCTTTTCACGCAATACGTTTTAATGTCCAAAACACTATAATATTTATCAATCACGCAGACGTGCTTGGTCATGTACCTGCATGTCCAACTGAACGTTGTACAAATACTTGAAGCTATAAACAAAGCTTGCAGTTATATATCATAAAAGTTACAAATGTTCTTTTACGATCAACTGTCCAATTACTTATACTATTAAGATACATTGCTATACGATAGGCCTGCTTGTCGAAAGTTGATGAAGCAATGGTACAGCATTTCAGTGATCACAAAAGTAACGGGATGGCGATTAATGCTACATGAATGTTGAATACATTGAATCGCAAAAAGCACACTTTATATATATATATATATATATATATATATATATATATATATATATATATATATATATATATATATAAAATTCACCGTGAATTTCATTTTGAGTTTATGGAAAATTAAAGTGTAAGGGCTCTGGGTCTGAGCGGGCGCGGTGCAGAAGAAAACTCTATGGGCAAATTGTCAGTAGGGTAAGCAACCGGCAGATATTTCATCTCTGGAGACGCGTTCAGTAGACGCCAGCTACAGTTCCTCACCAACTCTATTGCCAGAATCTTCAGGATCAGTTTGGCGAATTCTTTGCCTAAGCAGCCCCGGGCACCTGCACCGAATGGGAGGTAGTTGTATTTCACTTCCTGGGAGTCTCCTTGGATGGCGTTCCACCTGTCGGGGTCAAATTTGTCTCGTTGTTGGAAGAAGTTGGTGGTCTCGTGCGTGTCTCGAATACTGTAAGTCACTGTCCAACCTTTAGGAACTTGCATGCCCTATGATAAGATAATGAAAACGTTTTTATTGTATTTGCTTTGGAAACCTAAACAGATTCTATTTACAAATTATAACTGCCGCTATAAAAAGGGGTTTTAATACTAAAATTCCAATCATTGCATTCGTCAACATTTTTTCTTTGAATGAACCATGAATGCACCTGATTTATATACAGTGGGGTTAGACGTTACTTTCATATAGCCTAAACACAGCAAAATGTGACATTTTCAAATTTTAACGGTAAAAATAACGGTAAAAAACTTACGTCCACATCGAATGTCTTGAGAACCTTTCGGAAGCCGCCGCCGACCGGTGGGTTGATACGCAGCACTTCCCGGACCACCTGGCTCAAGTAACGGAGTTCACTTATGGCGTCCAGATTCAGCTGGGTATTGAAATTGGCCTCTTGGAAGAGATGACGGTCGTAGAGTTCTTCGGCGATTCTGTCTACAACTTCGGTTTTCTTGCCAAGATGCATCATCAGGCAGCAGGCGGCGCTGGCGGTAGTTTGGTGGCCAGCGAAAAGCAGTTCTAGGGCAATGTTTCGAAGCTCTGTCTGGCTGAGACTGCCTTGCGGGGACTGGGAGAGCAAGAGCCCCAGTGCACTGGGATAGGACTGACTTCCAGACTTATGCCGACTTATGCATTCATCGATTTTAGTCAAAAGGAAATTTCGCGCCTTGATACCCTAGAAATGGATATAAATCGGTTGTAAGAAATGTTAATCTTTGTGGTCGATATTGAAGATGAGATTATATGTTAAAAGGTGACAAACGATAAATTTCTTTTTAAATGTATCCTTTCTTTTTAAAACACATAACATTTCACTTTATATTTATTCATAGTTTATGAGATAGGTTTCTTACCTTGTGCAATCCGCTGCCAGGTATGTTCACCGGGAAAGAAAACAGATTATCTTCAAAGTTGGCAAGGGCCTCTTCGACGTCTTTGCTCTGTGTGAAGTCGCAGCCCAGGAGAACCTTCGAGGTGATGCTGAAGGCCAAGGTCCTGCACTCCGGGTAGCCGAGGATGCGCCCCTTGTCGCACCACGTTCGGATGAAATTGTGCACCGTCTCCTGCATTTCTGGGACGTACGTACTGAGAGCTGAGTGCTGGAATGCTTTGGCAATGGCTATTCTGCGAGAGTTGTGTTCGGCCCCACCGGAGTGGATGACACCGTTCTCGCCCATGATGGTTCTCGTGCTACTTGGCCAACGATGAGTAACCAGCTCATCCTCGTGAGTCAGAATTTTCTGGACGTTTTCTGCGCCGATGACGCGAATGGTGGGTTGGCCAAGAAGGTGGGTTTTGTACACGCGGCCGTATTTCGTTCGTCTGTCGTTGTAAAATGCAGTTGGCTAAAAAAAGTGATAAATGCGTTAAGTGTCAATTTTTTAAAACCTAGCAGTATTTCTATGAAAGGAATATGAGCTGAATAAGGTAAATCAAAAAGTGTTTTACAAGGCAGAAATTATCTGCAGTTCGTTCTTACAAACGAGAGAGGACTCAAATCGCAGAGAGGACTAAAATTTACTTTACAAGCGTTTTTCGTTCATTCCTATTTTCATTTGATTACTGGATATTTTTTCTCACCTTGGAGATGAAATTAAGGCTCTCGCCAATGATAGGCCAGCCCATGCTTCCAGGAGGCAGAGGCAATTTAGAGGTCTGGTCCGTGGTGCTCAAAACGTACATTTGCCATAGTTTGCAGGCCAAATATAGCAGGAGTACGAATGAGATGAGGGACAGACCAACCCCGGACGTTGAAATACTGGTCACAGCCCTGAAATTAAAACAAGACATGTGTATAGATATATTTGTGTGTGTGTAAAATAGTTTTTTTACTCTATTTTTGCTGTCTATGAATTTTGTGAATTCAAATATTTATAAGAAATTTTGTTTCCTGTTGTTAGACTTACCCGAGAGCTGGAATTGCAGGAACGATCCACTCAAACATTTTCTTGTTGCTGAAGTTGTTTCAAAACTAACTTGCAAATCTTCTTTTTATCTTCCTCTGCTTTACTTCTTCTTAGTTTACTTTAGCTTTTGACGGTCACTCTCTTGGTATGACTTGATTCGATCTCTTGATGATTCTTCTTGCGTTGTCTTCGCTGTCTGTGTTTGGAGTTGTACTGTCGCCGTACGCTGGGAGAGCGGTATTTGTACCATTCTCCGCCGCCCATTGAGGAAACCATGACAATACAGATGTTCCGGTTGACAGGCCTTGGCAAGGTCAGAAGGAATCTTCACAGGTCATAACCTTATTGATGCAATAGTCCACAACGTAATGAATGAGTGGTCAATTATTTTATGGGGAGGACTAAAGGAAAAATGTTTTAAATATCATCAGCAGATGCCGTCACCATCACCAGTACCATTAAAACAAACCTTCGTGTTTTAATTTTAAGCAGGTAAAGGTGATAGAAAGTGCGTTCCATTATTTAGCTTTATACGTTAAGTACCATCTCTAGAACAATTTGGAAAAACTACGAAGAATCTGAAAAACTACGCAAGTTGCAAGGCCCAGCAACTTACGAATAATGCAAAATGACGGACAGCGCGGAAAACCTGTGAGGAGAGAAACGGTTAAGCATTCGTGAACTTATGAGACATTTTCCCAGAAATACATTTATAATTAAAGTAACAAAAAAGATTCGCGAAGAAGTAGCAGTTAATGAAAATGCATATTTAGAATTTTATTACGTTGAAATTCATGCCTGAGAACTCGAGTACTACCCCCCCACCCCCACCCCCGAATTGCTTCTCTTGTCTTCCCCTTCCCCCTTCCCCTGAAAAAAAAGCGACTAATTTGTGAAGAATCTCCAGTAAGTAAATGACACTGAAGTTCAATAGTGTTTATTAGTTTGATCTTTCCAACCTATGATGACCGGACAACTTTGTAACATTAAACGCCGCCGGTGCTGAGCCTGCGGTGGGCGTACCAGAGAGACTTTTCAAAAATGTAGGTTACTTTGCTGTCATCAGAGGCGAAGGCTAAGGGAACCTATCCCTTTTTTTTTAATCGTGTCTGGACCGTGAATTAGGGATCAAATTCAAGATGTTTCACTGAAGACTTTTAAGGATGCGCGCTATGATGACATGTGACGCACCACTTTCAAACTGCCATGGCGTTTTTCTCTTCATGCACTTGACTCTACCTCATAAACAACACACCTTATTAACATCGTCTCGTTTTATCAGCAGCAAATCTGTTTATTTTCAAACTGTTTATTTGCTTCGACCTTAAAGTCATTAAGGTGAGGGCAAGTTTAAAAACAACGTCGACGCTCCCTGTTTTTGAATTTAACCAAATGTCTTTACTTACTGTAGATTTAAGTTGTCACGCAAATCTTGGCTTTAAAAAGCAGACTTTATTTCGGTGCAAAAAAAGAAACTCTTCCGCGAATTCATACATAGTAATTGTTAAATTGGATTAAAATTTTCAAAGACGTTATTATAAATTGTTGCAGGTAAAAATATTGTAATAATGTAAATCTCACATGCTTATCTCACCAAGAAAGTTTTAGAAAGTCTTTTAAGATGAAAAATATTGCTTCTGTTGTGAAACATGTATGTGCAAGTAAGTGCGGGGAAGAAGTCCAGATGAAAGCAACACGCCGCCAAATATCTACGACTATCTGCTTTGACCAATTCATTTAACACACAGGAAGGTCACTTCAATTATGCCTACTCTGTGAACTGTAAGTTACTATTTTCATTTTGGCTCAATACACGAGTATAGGGCATTTAAAGTTCACCCATTGTAGGAAACCACGTAATTTACAATTAGAAAAATTCGTTGTCAAATGAATGGTTTTATCCACTGCCCTTGCTGGTGTTATGTTTCCCTGAAATCCTAACTTCTGCTGACTCGGAACATCAAAACAAGCATATCAGGTGCTTTTTCAGTTTACACGTGTGTCAGCAAAATAACAAGGTGTTATTGTACCTGGAATCTCTTGAACTTGTTTTTCACAGTTTGTTTGTAGTAAAATTATTCTTAAAAAGATTTTTTTCATTCATTCTATATCTATAGTAAATGATGTTATGCTAATATTTTAACGCACTTATATGTACTGTTAAGGCTTTCGATATATTTTATATTTTTGTTTATTCATTTTATAAGCATTTAATATGATTTTAAATATTTTCTTTTCCATATCAAATCTTTATGCTCAAATGAAAATAATGCCTCTTTTTATGCATAATTATTTATCAAAGATAACTGGTAAAGGTGCACTACGTGGACTTTTTTTGCTGTTTTAAATAACATTAAATTACGTTGTGGGACACCGGTAAGTAATACGCGCTGGAATAGGTAAATAAATGAGCTTTATTAAAAAGTATTAAAAACAGCAAGTTGGAAATATGAATAGAAATGTGGTCACATTTTCACAAATCACAGCAAGGTACATGTATTTGGCATACATTTCTGGAGAGATTCGATTTTTAAAAGGTGATTCAATTAAAAAAAAAAAACAGACAATCGTGTTTTATTTTCACGACACGAGAATTGTCGCCATTCTAAAAGTTAAAAAAAAAACAAATCAATCAAAATTATCAAAATCTAGAATAAAGACATTTGAAGAAGTAAAAAGTTGCCCCTTGGCAAAGGCACGAATCTCGACCATTTCTGGCCTTTTTTTATGTAAGCGTTACATTGTATCAAATGACCCTGCCCTTTCCTGTCCTACCCTTTTCCAGCTCATTTACCAAAAAGCACTGATTTAGAGGGTATCAGTGGTCACCAGTGGTCGGCTGGCACGCCCATGTCCACATCAATTGGCTTGACCGGGTCAGAGGGTCGTGAACTACTGATCCCATTAAACAGTATGAAATTATAGCCTGTCATTTGACCGGTGACTTAAGACACTAATGGTGCTTCTGTGCCTTATTAAGTCATGGCTTTTTACAAAACTATGTCTCTGTTTCGGACACAAGAGGTCATTGAGATCGTTTGGTGTAAAAAGGGAGGGGTCGGATGGGGGGGGATAAGATAATGTCTTTTAATATGGAGCGCGCACAGGATAGTGGTGACTAAAATTCAATTCATCTTTATTTTTTTCGTCTTTAATGTTAACATTTGAAGTCAAATGTGGCCATTTGACTTTGATCACCACATTAATTCCATTTTCTTTCCCCAAACACGTGTCTTTGAAATGCACAAAAATGAAATGCACAAACACACGAGATCTTTGGAGATGAACAAAATGTTTTAGCAATGCAGTCGTACTGGAAAGTGTTCAATTCATCAGAGGTATCTTTTCGAATCGTTGGGAAACATACTGTTTTGATGACCTCGGTTATACAGAGCAGTTTAAACTTATCATTTAATAAATTCAATTAATTCACAAACGTCTCGATTTTTACTCTATATTGGACTGGAAAATGGACAACACCTCGTAGAGATAAGGGACCTTTTAAAAAAATTGATTAAAATGTTGTTACGCAAAATCTCAGAACACTGATCAAGAACAACTCGAGAGTGAAAAGTGTTTTGCATGAAAATACAGGGCAACAGAGCTAAAGACCCGATAAACTGTTTGTAAACGTTAGCCTGTTTAGAATGACAAACCGAGTAAAAATGGGTGACAAAGGGGATGTCGTACAAGTAAGTGAATAAGGATTAAGTTATGATAAGATTTAGACACACTGACCAAGGAAATCGAAAATCGCGATTTCTGAAGTGTGACTATTGTAGCATTGAAAGCTTCTCGGTGGAAGGTGCCCGAGGAACGGCATAACTTTGCCCCGTGCCTTCGAATTAGGGCCACACTTTTTTTTATTTTTATGGATGACATCCTGCGCGCGCACCGATTTTCGCCCGTTCTCCGAAAAAAAAAATCCCCCCCCCCCAGCCCCCGAAGTCGGTTGTCGCAAAGAGGGCGTCTCGATAGTCCGAAGGTTCATTGGTCCGAAGGTTCATTGGTCCGAAAAGTGGTACCATTTTCATCGATTTTTTTAATCAAGTGNCATCCTGCGCGCGCACCGATTTTCGCCCGTTCTCCGAAAAAAAAAACTCCCCCCCCCCAGCCCCCGAAGTCGGTTGTCGCAAAGAGGGCGTCTCGATAGTCCGAAGGTTCATTGGTCCGAAGGTTCATTGGTCCGAAAAGTGGTACCATTTTCATCGATTTTTTTAATCAAGTGTTCATTGGTCCGAAGGTTCTATAGTGAATATTCGGACCAATGAACCTTCGGACTATCGCTACGGCCCCGTCGCAAACGTCGTTATTGAATTTGCCAGGAAATGAGCTTTCTGCGCATGCGTATTATCGCCACGTGGAAATGTGGCCGCTTTGCCGTCAAATTCATCTCTAGGACATGGCCAGAAATGCCCAGCATTCACGCGATACGCGAGGGCGCTACAGTAGGGCTTCACGTGACTCAACTTGCCAATCACACCACAGCAATGGCATCGCACACAGACTCTGTGATAAGTGCTCAGCCCATTGTCAAGTAGTGTTAGTTCATGGTAACAAGCGTCTGACATGTGCAGAGAAGTTTATTATAATATATATTGTTCTTATTGTTACATTATTAAATCTAACTCTGTATCCGAGTAGTAACTATACTGTACCAAGTCAGGTGCTGATGATGTGCAGAGGTCATATATTCCAGAATAAGCCATTACCACTGAT